GTGAATGTAATGATGTTTCAGTAAGGAAATCATGATCTTTATGGGTTGATATTTTGAGAACAATGTGGTTTTATTTTCGAAATAATTTTATTAAGAATTAAAGTGAGATTTATGACAAATATCACTAAGAAAACTAATTAAACATACTTAAACTAATAAAATATAGCATACTATGAGTATAAACAGTGTTTTGGTCCGTCATTTTATAAATATATTCAGCTTACCAGCAGACGGCATTTAAGCCATGGATTTAGTTCAATAATTAAGAATATATTAATATGTAAATATTTTGTAATATATTTATTTATATCACATATTAAGGTGTAAGATTAGTTTTAAGATAGAAATATTATATGGTTTTTGAAATAAAATAAAACTACTATTATACTACTATTTAGCTTACCAACTGCGAAAAGTATGTAATAAATATTTTATTAAGTACCATAAAGTATAAATTATAAACTATCCACACATCTGATAAAAGTTTACTGCTTCATTAATATCATTTCAAGATTTTAACATTTTGCAATATTATATATACTACAACCTTCCCTGCTTAGTTTAAAATATATACCTAGCGTATGCATTCGCTACTAAAAATTATTGTCTGTAATTTATTCATCACAGTACTTTATTTATTATTACAACTTTTTACTCTACCTGGTATACATAATTAACTTAAACCATATTCTCTTAGCTAGTATAGTGTTTATTCTATATATATTTGGCATCGGCTAATTTATTGTCTATCATTCTGCGGCGTGTATAATCCTGTCAAACCTCAGCATAACCCCTGTTATTATCTTGGAGTGTGCATGTACGACCATTCGCAGCTGATTTGCTGAGCCCACAAACTACTTTTGGGTATCTATTTAGACTACGGATTTTATATTTAAAGTAAGCGTGGCTTTTTTTTTAAATAAAACTTGATTTATTCTTCATATTTTTAAAAGTTGACTTAACGTTAGTTTCACTTTGTTGTGGAAACGGGTTTCGACATTGTTAGTAATAAATAGCTGAAGTTATAAGTTCCATTTTTATATCATCAATAGGGACACATATTGCTACTGCAAAAATCTCTTGGCTAAGCGCCAGTTTTTAGAGTTTTCAATTTTTCATTTCTTTTGAAGAACTTGTTGTGATTTACTTTATATTGTGATGTTTAAAATGGCTTTAATTTCTTTAATATGATTTAACCACAATTAAAGAACAATAAAGAATCACCAAATGAATTTGAAGCATAACCATTTAAATCTAAACTTCCTTAATCATCAAGTTGGTATTGATTTAATCGTCTGATATAGTAATTTGTAACTCTTCTCGTCATTTCTTGCATTATTTGTTATGTTATATTTGCCGATCCTACAGATAGTATTGATGATAAATAGTGCTTGTATAGTTCCTTTAATACTATTTCTATATCGTTTTTCATTGCCGGTAATTTCCCTTGGAGAAAGGGAATTGATAAAGAAATGACAGAAGCGCACTACACATGAAATGATATATGCAGAAAAGCACCTAAGTGCAGTTTAAGAGAATAGTTACGGTCCTATGTCCCATTAGGGGTAACGGACACTAAGAAGAAGAATGTTATTCTACTATTTCCACTATCTTAATCGTATCGCACCTATCCTGTTTACAGTTTAGTCAAGTTTGTAAGTCAAGTTTGAAAGATTTTATTGATGACTGACAATAATGGTATAGCTTACTTTGTCGTTGTTGATTTATTAAACTATAATAGTTGTAGTTAGTTAAGTAAATGGTTTTGAAAGATTTTATTGATAATTGTTCTAAAAATTGTTTAAAAAGAACGAAACTTTTTATTGTTTCTTAAAAGGTCAACTACTACCGAAAGATTCATCTAAAATGTCTTTATTTAACATTTTATTATTTTTTACGATTATTTTCCTCACATTTGGCCAAAACAGTTGTTGACAACTTTTGTTCTGTTGAAACATGAGTTAAAAAAAAAAATTAAAGAGAAAAATAAAAATCAAAAGTTTTTCATTTTTCTACTGTCACAAGTTCGTGTCAAATTTCCACTTTTCATTTTTTATATCTTTTTTTCACTTTTTTACGGTCATTGTGTATCTGTTGTTTGTGGTAGTACTTTTGTTTTCTTTGTTCACACAATCCATTCATATGTTACTGGTATGTCAAAAGATATTTGTTCCAAGACTTATTGTTGTGTCTCTCGATTGTCGGCAAGTTTTCACAATAACCAAAGTCAAATGTCCTCCCTCTCCTCTTCAAAAATATTTCAACTATTTTTCTACATTTCAATTATTTGACTTATGAACACATTTGCCTTTAAAGAAAAGCGTGCCAATGCACTGCTTCGCAATATTAACTTTTCACATTGGTTTAAAAACCATGAAGCCATTCGGAACTGTGTAAATATTGCCAGCGTTATCTTCTCACAGACTTCTAAGTAATTGCTTAATGCTTAATAGCAGTGCAAATAATTGCAATTTAAATATTAAAATATTCCCGACAATAAACCATAATAACCACAGTCAGATATACACTGGCTTGGCTGCCAGGCAATCCATTACGAAATACTTTTGTAATTGTGAAGTTTTATCACGTTATTGGCTTTATCTTTATTGGTATTTGAATTTGTATTTATACATATTTTGTTGACTTATCTCTGAGTTTACATTGTTTGCTTGGCTTGTAATTGCAATTTCATAGTCGAGTCATTTGGTTAGAGTTCACTTTGGTAATGGCGATATTCGTTCGTGTAAATTTTATTTATCCCTAGAAAATTTCACATACTTTAAATCTATATAAAATGTTGAATGTTGCTGCTGTTTCGAGCTGTTTTTAAAAGTTAAAGTTTAATGCGAGAAAATTTAATTTCAACTTGACACACGATTTTGACAACAATTCAGTGACAATAAAACAACAACAAAAATAACATCAACAACTGACACTGCATCAGCAATATAAAAATAAATGACAGCAACGTGACATGTTTCAATAATGATTTTACAACTGCAACAAATTCGAATATAAGCTAACAACTAGAAACAAAAGATACTCACATGTATGAAATAAAAAAACTTTTTTATATTCTAACAAAATTTTTATCTTCTTTAAAAAGTACTAAAAAGGTTTTTAAATTTTATTTCACTTTTTACACCCTTACACCCACCAATTATAAAACAGGGTATATTAAAATTGTTAAATTACTTGTATTACATTGAAGAAGATATTGGAGCTTAGATGAAATTCATACAATTGTGATTACTTCATAAATTACAACAACGATGTCAGTCTGGAAATTAGACGAATACTTATCATTACCTAAAAGTGGTATTATGAGCGATGCCGAGGTCTCTCTTAATAAAACTTAGACTTTAGATTGTTTGATCTATCTGTGGTTCTGTATAGCCCAGAGGAATGAATATTGTTACAAAATGAACAGTTAGTCTTGGAAAAAAAAGTTTTTCCTCAAATCTGTGGTCCTCTACGAATACACATGCTTTCAGTTCTTGAGCTAGGTACAGCTTATCATTACTTAAAAGTGCTTTTATGAGTTAGTAGCAATTGCGATGCCGAGATATTTTTTGATAAAACTTACATTATACAGTACTGAAAGGATCATTATATCAAACGATAAATATATGCTATTACTAAACGAAGAATTATGTTCGTAAGAAAAATTTTTCGTAACTTTTTTGATCTTCCACAGATATACTATATATTTTCAGCTCTTAAGCTAGGTAGATTATTAATACCTCAAGGTGCTTCTATGAGTTCAGTAAGTAATTGTGGTGCCCAATTCTCTCTTCCTAAAATTTAAACTTTACAGATCATTATGGTTCTCTAATAGAAGTTCTCGTTCCTTTTATCAAGCCTCTCTTAAAGCGAGTCTGCATTATAAAGTGTGTGAATAAGTACATCTCAACTAAACTCCCGGAGCTTTTGGCGAGTAATTGTCGATGTGTGTGACTTGACGTTGTCGTAATGGAACACAATTCCTCTTCTTTTACTCAAAGCTGGCAGTTTCTGATAACTGTCCTTCAGACAGTCCAATTATTAATAGTACAATTCCAAGTTAAGAGTTTTGCCTTAGTGGAACAGATCATAGATGATGATTCCCTACCAATCCCATCAAATACACAGCAAAACCTTCCTTCCATGATTGACTGTTACAGTATCAGGACCATAAACACTATTCACATTTCAGCCGCCTGAGTGGCGTTTTCGCCTTTATCAAAGAAAAACTGTAAAATGTGGCGTATTTTCTCTTTGCTAGTGTCCATTTTTGACGCGCAGTTAAACAAACTTTAATCAACCAATTACCAAACTGTCAAAGTTTTTTTCATTACGAAATATCATCTCTCTAACACAATCTAATGTAACCCGATCGGATTTATACAACGTGCGATATAAATAACTACAGCTACCTAATGAAAAAGTTTTTTTATTACGAAATATCATCTCTCTAACACAATCTAGTATAACCCGATCGGACTTATACAACGTGGGATATAGATAACTACAGCTATGTAATGGGAAAATACTAGATTTCTTTTTACTACACCATATACTACTCGTAGCATAGGTTTTCCATGATATACGATTTCGTTTAATATATGGATTTATTTCTGTTACTACGTTATGTGGTCTTGCCAGTTTTTGATGTATTATATTGGGGCCCGTGTTATGACGCTAGATATATTTGTTTGCATCTAGAGTGGTCTTAATAACCACTCTACGTGTTCATAACAATCACAACTTCACGTATAGTTCTAAAAATACTAAATATTTAAGAAAAGACTTTAAATTGTGGCGTGAAATTTAATAAATATTAATTAACAAATCAAAATAGTACAATAATATAATTAATATAACAATTTAAAAATAAATCAATATTCTTGCAGTTGTGAATAAAAAAAGAAGATAAATAAATGTGCCACTAAAATTTTGTGAATTTGTCTAAAAAATCTGATAAAAATATAATACAGTGATAATACTGTGTATCGTGACAGCTACATTATATAAACATAAATAAATGCAGCCAATACAAATCCCATAATAAAGGCCAGGCTCTGTTTAAAAATATATTGTTGCAATGTTTGAATAAATCGATGTCTTGCCTCATCATCATCAAAAGTATTATTAGTACGTTCTTTTTCTAGATGACGTAAAGTCGATCGAACAATTCGTGGTAAAAAGCTGCTGAAGGTCCTTGTCAAGTAATTCTCATTACTTTGGCTTTCAACATATTCACAATCTGTAGGATATTTCTGTTGAGCATTAAAAGTAGTGGATCCACGTCTACGTGTTGTGACATTTGGATGATGCCCTTTGGTAATATACTCTGGATTTGTTGTAGTTGCTTCAGTTATATTTGGGCGTAATATATTTAGTTTAAGGATTTGTGGTTTTTTCGCAGGTGTCGTGTAATCAAACTGTATTTTGGATGATGAAACAGAACCGAACTTCAAATCACTTAGATATTTCAAAGGTGTTGAGTTACTATGACTACTGAAAAAAATTGTAAGTTTGAATATTTTGAATCTGTTTTAACTTACTTTATATTGTTTGAGGAAGAATTGATATGTTTCTGAGCATCAAAATCATGGAGGTAAGTTTGTATTGGTTTCTGCACTTTAAGTTCAATTTTCGGTTTCTCTTCAAGTGGATCATTAGAGAAATTTTGAGTTATGCTGCCAGAATTATATTTATTTTTAAGAGCTTCAATTCTTTGAACACGACATGCTTGCGCATCTTTATTGTTTCTAATATCATAACTTTTAATTAATTTTCCTCGTAATGATGCTTTTTGGTGATAGGAAGTTGTTAAAACTGCCGACTTAGTTAGGGAGACGGAACCTTTTAAAATTTTAAAACCTTGTGATTTCACGTCTTCACCTATATCTGGATGAGCTTTATGGACAGTATTAAGTTTCGATCCTGAACCTAAGTGACCATGTGATTTCGCATCTTCGCTAATAATTGGATTAACGTAAACATTATTGAATGTTTTGAATTTCGATCCTGAATGTATCAAACCATGTAATTTTTCATTAACGTTGGAAGTATTGATTGTATGGAGTTTAGATCCTGCAGTTGGGATGGTTTTCATAATGTGTTCATAGGATCCTTGGTTGACTTTTTGATTAACAACACTTAAAGCTGTTCCAGTATGATTATGTTGCAAAGTATTAAATGTGCAAACATTGTCTTCAGTGTTATTGTTGCTTGTTGACACAGGGAACTTGCTTAAGGAACTTAAGTCGGGAACTTGCTTTTCATTATTGCTTATCTTTGTTTTAGTTAGAGTTGATT